TTATACCTGCATGTCTCTGTAATGCAGAGACTGCGTTCTGATGAATCATCATCACACGAGACATAGAAAACAATTTTCTGCTGGAAGAATAAAGACTGAGGATTGATAAAGTCTCTGGTGAGTGGATCAAAGTGTCCTCTGGGTGCAGGTGAGGACGTTAACAGAGACGTGACTGCTGACAGAGAAACTCAGAATCAGAAAAACTTCATGTCCATCTTACAAGGTTTGAATTATTTCTAACACTGTCTGATGACTTCAATGTTATATTAAATTTGAATGATTTTCTATGTGGTCTTAGACATCTGGACACACTGCACATACTGCTCCTTGTGCTTTTTAAATACCTTCTGGGGTTCGTGAATCCAGACTGAAGAAAGAACTGTTGGTTTAACTGCGGCTGCATTTGAAACCAACAATGTATTTATGTTTATTTAAGAGAGAGAAGAATAAACATGACCAGTATCTAAAGTAAAATACAATATGAGATTAAAAAGATGATATTTATCTGTCAGTCTGTGAAGAAAGTTCTAAACACTGTAGCATGAACCTGATTTTCAGTAAAAAACTTCTCTTAAAGATGTGATGTATAAGAATAAATGAATAACTCACTAATTGCTCCTGCACACAGGGTTAAAAGGCAGTTTACAGTCTGGATGATTAACAAGGAAACAAACTTTATACATTAAAGTCTCTGTTGACCTTTCACTCTCTGGGCGTCTTCATGCCTGATCATAGTTTACATGTTCAACCAAAGCAGATGTTTACAGCTGATCACAGCTGCAGGTCTTTTCTCAGCAGCTGATCTTCATATATAGATTTAAAAAGCTAATATTTAAAAATATTATTTATTTATTTTTAGTCAAACATCTCAACCAAAGAAACTGGGAGATGATTAAAGCAGCAGAGGAACGTTTGGGCTGAAAAGAGGAAAATTAAACGACTCCTGTTGTCACAGTTTGCAGCCAGAGGGACAGATGAAGAGTTTTGAAGAAGATGATGTCGTCGGTGCACCGAATGGTTGGATTGGATTATCAGACAGTATTAAACAGATCTACAACCCTGAGAGGAAACAAAGTCTGCTGACTTCGTTTATCTTTTGGCTTTTCTTTTGTTTAACCAGCAGCTTTTCCACCTCTGACATTTCCATCAGCTCCTATTAACACCAGAATAACAGTGATGTGACGGCTTCAGCCCCAAAATATTCATTTCATATTCTGGTCATTTATAGTAAGAGCAGGAGAGGCTGCAGAGCCGATCCTGTGTTCTTTCATTCTTCTGAAAGTTTGTGTGTCATTTTAAAATATGATGCTGGAAACAAACTGCAGCAGCAACTTAACCCAAAGCAGGTTTTAGTGCTTGGTCAGAGGTTTCATACAAGTTAGGACACAAGCGTAACAATAAAACAAAATTCAATGATTTGTGAAACTCAGATTTAATTGATAATAAAGAAGAAATCCAAGAAATGATGTTAACACTGGTAATCTCTTCAAGAAAAGCAAAACGTGTTTAAGCTACGATGAGGCCAGGGTCCTTGCTTGTGGGGGAACCACAAACTGGGACCAATTTACAGCTAGAACTTCTCATAGAGGTGACGCTTCAACCTAAAGTAAGCTTCTTAATCTTTACTCAAGGATGACTGAGACCACAGCAAAAACTGTTTCATTTTCACTCACTTTAAACACGTAGCGTGCGCCATCTGGTGGCACAATGGTAAACTACACCCAATAAGAAATAAAACCAAGTACACAGATTAATAGTTCAATGTTAGCAATAAAAACTGAACAAATACGAAATTGTTTAAAATCCAGAAATATGACTGCAGTTTATCATCACCTTACTGTACGTGAATGAGTTTGTTATCTTCAGTGTAAGAGCATCAGACCAACACTCAGCAACAGTAGGACTGGCACAGGCAGACCTGGCAAACTGCACATAGAAACACCTGAGCCAATAAGGAGGCTTGTATCCAGGACCACTGCACCAATATGAACCTCCAAGGACATGAAGACACTGCTGTGGAGCAGGAAGCACTCAGAGGGTGTTGTGGTGTTTGTCCAGGGAGCTGAGCGCCACGTGCACGCGCATGTCTGAGTTATAATTTGCTTCTGAGGTTGTTTCACCACAGTGGCAAGTAAACATTATTCAATGATAACTGAGCAAAGTGATCAAATACACTGAATTAATAACAAAGTCACCTGTCTGACCATCTTGTTTCATTCTTTCCTTTGGGACAGTTGCTGCTCTTTCACTTTCAATTCAGTTTTATTGTACACAGCACAATCACAACAACAGCTGCTTACGGTGCTTTATATCGTAAGGTGACCCTACAATAATATATACAGAGAAATGACCCCCTATGAGCAGCACTTTGGCGACAGTGGGAAGGAAAAACTCCTTTTAACAGGAAGAAACCTCCAGCAGAACCAGGCTCAGGGAGGGGCGGGCCATCTGCTGTGATTGGTTGGGGTGAGAGAAGGAAGACAGGATAAAGACATGCTGTGGAAGAGAGACAGAGGTTAATAACAGATATGATTCAATGCAGAGAGGTCTTTAACTACATAGTGAGTGAGAAAGGTGACTGGAAAGGAAAAACTCAATGCATCATGGGAATCCCCGGCAGCCTACGTCTATTGCAGCATAACTAAGGGAGGATTCAGGGTCACCTGGTCCAGCCCTAACTATATGCTTTAGCAAAAAGGAAAGTTTTAAGCCTGATCTTGAAAGTAGAGATAGTGTCTGTCTCCTGAATCCAAACTGGAAGCTGGTTCCACAGAAGAGGGGCCTGAAAACTGAAGGCTCTGCCTCCCATTCTACTTTTAAATACTCTAGGAACAACAAGTAGGCCTGCAGAGCGAGAGCGAAGTGCTCTAATAGGGTGATATGGTACTACAAGGTCATTAAGATAAGATGGGCCTGTAGACCTTGTAGGAGCAGGATTTGAATTCTATTTACAGGACAACAGAGAATCTGCCTCTATCTGTGATTCGCAGATTTGACAGCGAAGGTTTAGTGTTTAACTCCTGAAATAATGAATTACAGTCGTCCAGCCTGGAAGTAATAAATGCATGAACTAGTTTTTCAGCGTCACTCTGAGACAGGATATTTCTAACTTTAGAGATGTTGCACAAATGGAAGAACGCAGTCTTACATATTTGTTTAATATGTGCGTTGAAGGACATGTCCTGGTCAAAAATGACTCCAAGGTTCCTCACAGTGTTACTGGAGGCCAAGGTAATGCCATCCAGAGAAGAATCTGGTTAGATACCATATTTCTAAGCATTTTCAGGGCCGAGTACAATAACCTCAGTTTGATCTGAATTAAGAAGCAGAAAGTTAGCGGCCATCCAGGTCTTTATGTCTTTAAGACATTCCTGCAGTTTAACTCATTGGTGTGTGTTATCTGGCTTCATGGACAGATAATGCTGTGGGATGATTATTGGTAATGTTTTTCTCTAATGTTAAAAATTTATTTTGAAGAAGTTCATGAAGTTCAGTTACTTAGGGAGGTGCTCACGAGCTTCACGTGGCATGTTGTAAACGACCCAAAATGACAGAGGAGTATAGGTTTAGTGGCTATATGCAGGGAAAAGAAAATGAACACTAGAAACAGACACTAAGTACTAAACTATACTATAGAAATAAAGCAGACGAAACAACTAGGCACATAAACGACGCATGCTGAAGAAAAGCTAAATACACATGGGTCAGGGAGTGTGGGAAGTGACATACTATGAGGCCGGAGAGAAGTAATAATAACAAACTGCATGTCGAATAAAACAGGAAAATGACCACTTCAACTAACTAGTATACAAAACCACATAGAACAGGAACTGCTAATAGCATAGGAAACCAAACTTAAATAAAAATCGAAACTCAATGTGTCGGAGACCAGGATTGTTACTGGACAGTACCTCTTAGCATCCCAGTGATCTTAATTCGCTAAATCTGAAGTCACATGCAAATGAAGCAGACATTGTTACAGCTGCTTATTGAAGAGAAACCTTGTTCTTATTCAGCTGTAAATTTCTCAGTCTCAGTTTTCTTGCAGGTTAAACATTGACTCAGCTGTTCAGGTGTCTCAGTGATGTCAGCAGTGAGACTCCCGCCCACTCTGCTGAGAACGACTTTGTTACAGGTGAGTTTTCACTTTGAAGACGATGTCGCATGAAACGTGTGGAATATCAATGACGACTGTTTTTAGCTTAAAAGAGCTGAAGAGTCAGCATGAATTCTGCTCCCAGCACAGTGATGTCACAGACACACAGCTCAGGTAAGATCTGCAGGATGACCTGATCAATAATAAGAACTAAAATCAGTCCATGCACAGATTGCAGGATCTCTGCGGTTCTGTTTGTGACGTTTGATCTCAAAGACAAAAATCCAGAGAAATTATTTTTTGAATTTCGTGTCAAAAAGCTCGTCTGTTTTAAATTTGTTCAGATTTTAATAAAGTAACGCTTTTAATCCAGCCGGGCAGATGCATTTTTGTTCAAGAGCGGAGAGTCTAAAGTCCAGGGACGATGAACTTAATTGCAGCCATAATGTTAGGAGCAATAAAAAAGTCAATAATAAAAGTATAATATTTAACTGTAAGAATATTAACTGTGTAAATGTAGATCTGTGTGTATTAGTGCAGCTTCTATTCATGTTAATAACCAGGAGCCGTCAAAATAACATTTGGTTTTCAGAAAGTTTCAGACAGTCATGTCCCATCTGGTTTTAAGTTTGCTTTCATGGCCATCACAGTTATGGATGCTTTCCTTCTTTTCATCAGTTTACAGACATCAGAGTAATAAATACGATACGTGGAATATATCTGAGTAACAGTAATGTAATACTCACTGTGACCTGTATGACCTCCTGTTAGTCTGTAGGAAAAAAACAAAAAACCCCAACTTGAATGACATCAGGTGCTTATTCCATCATAACCTGATGTATTTTTCTTTTTATGTATTTAAGTATTTTTATTTTTGTGACCGTAGCCATAATTTTCTCTTCTGCACCAACATCTGAAACTTTTGTATTATCTTTAAAAAGGTTCATAAATCTTAGTCTCAGATTATCTAGGAACATAAAACTGATAGCAGAGAATATTCAGAAAGGGCCTTTTTTAAATCATTAACTCACATATTAATAAAGCCGAACCTTTGACCTGCAGTTAGATATAAAGTAAATGTGATGTGTATCATGTCCTGTGAGTCGATGAGTAACAGCATGCACAAAGAAGAAAATGATAACGTTTGAAAAAAGTGAACATTGACCACAGAGTAGATAACATCCACTGTATACAGATAAACACAGACTTCTTGTTACCTTGTTTAATTTGAACAGAGGCAAACTCATCAAGTAAAGCCTCTAAGCTTGGTGGGAGCAAATATTAGAGTAACCTGACCTCTCAGAGTTCTTGTATATGCAAATCTGGAGGTTTTATTTATGACCTCAGCAGTGATGGTCAGGGCTACTCGACATTGCTGTTGGATGTGCATGCAGATGCAGTTAAGCATGTATTTGACGACACAGCGACCAGGTGTTTTATCAGGACAGGTGAACACAAATGTGTCTGTACACACTGCAAAACCACTCAGAGCTCAGAAGCTTAAAAAGGGGCCAATATGTGACTGTGGAGACAGCAGAGCAATTTTCACAAACTTTATTTACAAGTTTAAGCAAAGGAATAAACTTGGTGAGGGATTCAGGGCTTGATGTTTGAACACGACTCGTAGTGTGGAGATCTAAAGCTGTAACTGTGGACAGAGGAGTGGCTGATTAGTGTGGGTATGAAATTTCTCCAGACTTGAATGATTTGAAAGAGGAATATGACTCATGTTGCAGGCAGAGTTGGTGACACTTTGAGGAGCAGCTGAAGGTCCGGGTGAGCTGAAGAGAGCGATGCTGGGCTGACCCGAGTTAAAAGAGATCCAGTGCAAAACAGTGGAAAGAGGGCAGGCAGGTGCCATACTGAAATCCTTCCCAGGAGTCAGAGTGTGACACAGGTGCTGTGACCAGAGAGCTGTAGCACAAGAAAAGCAAGGTGGGTACATAGACTTAAACTTGAAGCATGTAGCATGAGAGCCATTTACCAATGTGGGTAAAGTGACAAACAAGCAATGAAGACGCTGGTCTTAAATATTCTCAGTAGACTGTGCTGGATTAACTCCAGGTGAGTTGGGCAGGTGAGGAGATGACAGCTCCGCCCAGGGGCGGGCACAGGAGAATCTGGAGCTCGGTGGAAAATACCAGCAGCTCACTCGGACTGTCACACTTAGATGGTTTAAATGTCAAAATCTGAATACAAAATAAAAGTATAATGAAAGGTTTAATCTTTCCCTGTGTGTGGGATACTGAACACGGCACACATAGGACAGGACAAATATCAAAATAAAATAAGAAGTAATCAGTGTTGGTCAAGTTACTTGAAAAAAGTAATCAGTAACTAATTACTGATTACTTCCCCAAAAAAGTAATCCCGTTACTTTACTGATTACTTATTTTCAAAAGTAATTAATTACTTAGTTACTTAGTTACTTTTTAAAAACACGATTTACAACCTGAAGAGGTGATAAAGCGATAGATCTTTCAGCCCAATTCTACTTTTTCTGCATAATCCATCATACAAAATGTAATCAAATGGAAAAGTCTCTTTTTTAAAACTTGTTTTATCAGTTTTAATCTTTTAACTTTATGCATCAAGCAAAAATTTAATTATATGCAACATTCTCTGACTTGAATAAATTAGTTTAACATTTAAACCTATTTTCTACACATTCCAGCACATAAAATAAAATATTTTTTGTGTTTACACTCACTCTTTCAAATAGATGCAAGTAAAACACAGCAGAACATAAATAAAGTCAAAGACTCAGCGGTCCTGTTGCTCTATTTTCACCTGTAAAGCAGGAGTGGGGTAGGCGGAGGTTTACCCTGGTGCAGGTGTGCCGCGGTCAGTGGAAGAATCCGCGAGTTTCTCTGTGAGTTTCCCATTACGTCGTAGCTACTCGGTGCTTGTTGGAAGTTTAGGGGTTTTTTCGCTGTAAAAAGAAGTTTTCTTCCCACGCACAGCGGACACTCATGTTTTTGTCACTTTTTATGGAATCAAACTCAAAGTAAGGTCAGTACATTCTCTCTTCGGTTTTAGTAACGCAGTAACGCAGCGTTCCTACGGGAAAGTAACGGTAATCTAATTACCGTTTTTGCAATAGTAATCCCTTACTTTACTCGGTACTTGAAAAAAGTAATCGCGTTACAAGTAACGCGTTACTGCCCATCTCTGGTAGTAATACACACAAACACCCTGAGACTCCAAAACCCCACAAAGGAGGGGTGGTGGGGGTGTTTTTCCGGTCTTTGGCAGGGGTCTCAAACTCCAGTCCTCGAGGGCCTGTGTCCTGAAACTTTTGTGTCCCTGCTGCAACACACCTGAATAACATTAAAGACTCTCTAGACTACATGCTGAGGTGGAATAGGCTTCCATGATCCATCATAGCAGATGGTTCACAATAATTGGAATGAGGACAGACCCAGAGTCTAGATGCTGGTGGATGCAAAGACAAAGGCAGCGCTCCGAATGACAAAGGTGAAGCGGAGACTGGGAGGAAGCGTGCTGCATAAATGAGTTTGAAAGGAAGACTGAAAGACTGAAAGACGAGAACAGATATTTAAAGCACACAGAACAGAATCTGACTGGCTTACAGAAGGTGAGCAAGAAAATTATTGGATTAGCGTTAAGACAGAATTAAATCTGAAAACATGGAAAAGTAGAAGTGATGTAAAGAATAGACTTGTGTAATGAGCATGAAGACTTAAAGAAACCCAGTCACCTCCTTTCCAAGCTCCTCAGACTATCATGAACTGGATGACTGAGAACTTAGACATAAAGAACAGACGAGCAGCCTGAACACCAGGAAAGCTGACAGATGAGTGATTACAGAGTTTGATTGAATCTTTATCGAACTCCAGAGTGATTGCTGACACACCCATGTTACTCAGTCAACAACTTCTCTGGCAGACAGGTACAGATATTACTGTGATGGTTTAATTATTCACCTTGCTGGATTGAAATTTCCCCAGAGACACATCTAAGCACACTCAGTCACACTTTGCAGTAATAATGGTTTTGATCTGAATAAATAAAATCTGAACCATGTGACCAGAGATGGCAGAGGGAAGCAAACTTTCAGCATGGTGTTAAATTATTTCCCCAAAGGATGAGAAGATTTAGAATATTTACTGAACCTTAATAACTTTGACATTCAAGATTTACTAGGAAGCATTAAATGCACCGAAAACTTCTACGATCAAACCAGCACTGAAACCTTAAAAGTGAACAACAATCTGAAATGTACTCTCTGCCCAACATGTTCTCACTCCCAAAGCGTAACATACTCCTCTATGTGACAAGTCGTCAGTATGTTATGCTTTTGGCCACCCAACACTTTCCTATGTTACGCGTTCGGAAACAGGAGGAAACATGAGAACAGTTTGTACTGAATCTACACATGTACATTTATTTTACTTTCTCATCATGAATCACTTTGGAAAACACTATCTTAACACAGTTGTGGTTAAAGTTAGCGATTATGGTTATAATTAGGGTTAAGGCTGGAATACACGTGTCACCACCGGGAGCATCAACCTATTGGATTCCATCCACACGTATCATAGGGACACGGAAGGTAACCTTTTGCGTTCTCATGGGACACCTCGGGACCTGTTCTCATTCCCGATGTGTATGTTATACATCGGGAATGAGCATGCTCTGTTCTGCAACATTTTAAATGCAGTCACGCTTCTGAAGACAGAAGATTTTGTTCACTTTGTTGTGAATATTTAGAACATTGTTCTTTTTTTCTTTTCAACTCCACAGTCAGTGAGTTCTGCAGCTGAATGACAGCATGGCAGCAGCATCTGGTGAGTCTTACTTTGTCACACTTACATGCAGTACCTGTGAGTTACCTCCCTCTACAAGCACTTTCTGACAGTAATTTAATTGTTTCTTGGTTTCTCCTGTTTGGAGAAATGTGAAAAAAATGAAGAAAACGTGATTATTAGAGGATAATCGATGTGACTACAGGTGAATATTTTACAGCAGGTCTCATCTGAACCAGGCTGCTGTGTTGCATGTAGCATACTTTAACAATGTGTTTAACCAATAACATTTGTCAGAATGTGTTTTCTGAAAATTAACAGTCATATTTAATAATCTTTCAAAGTAAACTTTGTTTCCTCTGCTATATACAGTTCAGTACATAGAGAGACGAGACGACAGTTTCCCAGAACTAATGTGATCTGTTCATACAGTCAGCCGTTGACATTAAAAGTGCTTTGTTCCATCTGATGTAGTCATTGCAGGATAACACGTCTCAGTGCATAAACTACTACAAATAATAATAATAAAAGAAGAGTTATTTCTTTATCTTTGCAGGACCACAAGACACTTTTCCCAGACGTCGCAGGAAGAGCTTTGATTTTGTGCCACCCCACAGTGAGTTTTTAAAGAAAAGATGTTTAATGCAAACTTTAACTGGGCAATTTAAGGTGGAAGACATTAGACAGAAGCAGGTGAAGACAAAATATAGCAGGAAGTGTGAAGCTTGTTTGGAAAAATTAAAAACCTCTTAGTGCACGGATTCTGCTTTCTCTCTTTACATTTAGAGCTCATATAATGTATAGAAAAGTGAAGAAAACTATTTCATGTAAACTTTTGGGGGTCATTTCTGGGAGAGGTTACAACATATCAAATGTCTCCTTAACTTCATGTTAACAGATCAAACATTCAGGATACCAGTGTTTATGTAGCTCTATGCCACAGACATGAAGTTGGTGCAATTTTCAAAAGAGACTGTAGGAAAGAAAACTGTGCTGAACAAGGAGAAAAAAAATAGGTCTTCAGATTATGACACTGTGGATTTAAAACTGAGCTTTTAACAGAGGTTACATGTATTTATTGTCACAGCGGTGGATCGGACTCGGGCACAGACTGAGAACACGGTTCAAAGTTCTTTATTAACCACACTGGTGCGCTATATACACAGGGGGGTGGGGGGGTGGGGGGATAGACCAGGGTTCTGGGGGTCAACAGGTTGGGAAACACGCCTTCGTACTGGCTCCACTCTTCACACTGCAGGTTACCTGGTGTAATGTTTTTCAGCTACAAAGAAACATGGTCTGACTCCTACCAACTATATAAAGAGTAACTGAAGGTTTAATGCAGCTAAGATGTCCTGTTTTAAACCAGACCTCCACGCCGCTGCTCTCAGCCACCATCGCTCTGGCAGACAGAGCACTAGAGTCAGAGCAGGGGAGAGGCGAGCTGGAACAAACCATTATGGGAGGGGTATCTATACTTTTGTTGTTAAAATGTTACATCTCAACCAAGTACTGTATGCTTTTTATATTTTTTGTACGTGTCACACAAACAGCAAATATTGTCAAAAAAAAGTAAGAAATCTTTGGGGGTGCTTTGATTCATTCAGCACCCCCAAAAATGGGCTAAAATCGCTCCTGATCTCCACACAAGCAGCTCCACTCTCACCCACGGGGTCCAGGGGTCACAATGAGGGCAGAGCCAGAAATACCTATTTACAGAGACGAGGATTAATCCAAGGCAAGCACGGGTCAACAGAATCGCAATGAAGCCAGGCAATACTAACAAGAGTTACTCAATATTCCAGCGACAAGTAGCTCAGAGCCCCCCTCCTTAAGAAGAGTCAGAGATCAAACTGCAAATCACCAGTGATCAGATGCAGGTGCGTATCCCAAGGACGGGAACCCAATCTGAGCTCCGCCCAATCTGAGCTCCGCCCAAGCAGACAGACGAGAGAGAGAGAGCAAGGAGAGCAAAACAACAAACACTTGTGGCCACATTGGGCTGGCCGGGGAGACACAGGGACCATGACATTTTTCAGCTCTCAAAATGTATGTTGTATTCTCACATGTGAATATATATTTATGGCTCAGTAATGATCCATAAATACTAGAAAAAATAACACATATTTAAACAAACTGACAATTTTTGTGCATTTTTCAGTAACTCAGTGGTTACAAGTGGAAAATGATTAAAATTAGATTAATTGAAACCTATGATATAATGTTGTTGCTGCTTGTATTAACTTTGAAAGATTCTTTGTTCAGTGTTTGTGTTTGCTGTCGTTTCAGTGTCTGAGCTCAGAGCTGTCCTGCTGGGGAACAGCTGGTCTGAGAGGAGCTCAGTGGGAAACTTTATACTGAGAGAGAACAAGTTCAACCCTGAGGAAGAACTGGACCGATGTGTGAGAGTCAG